CAGAACTAGTTAATATCCTTTGATGGAAATAGGAGCTTTTTGTGGCAAGGAACCATTAACTTTGGATTGAATCATGAAAAAGTTTTTGACTGCAGCGAAATGTCAGGAGACAGGGGAATGGGATTTTCCTTCTGAAGTCGAAGTTTGTTTTCTGTTACAGCCTATGTGGGCAGTGAATTCCTCTGTCTTCCCTTTCTTTGTTATTCTCTGTTCTGCTTCCTACCCTTTCCCTGCGAAACTTTGAAGTTTCCTTTTTCAATATTGATATTTAACGGTGCCCTATTTGAGGGGAGTTGACAACATCCATCTCTGTGCTCTGTCAGTGCTGGTGGGAGGAGGTCAATGAGCCCACTGCAAGTGTATTTTTCTCCCCTCCCTAAGGAACTGGGTTTAAGACCTTCACAGGGAAGTATTTAATGTGTTTTCATTAAGTCAGGGTTTCTTTTTCCTATTAGGATTTTTGCTTTCAGACCTCATTTGGTTCTTAGTGTTGGCTCAGTTGGGCTGGTCTGAGCCGTGCAGGGGTCGGTGCTGGGGCACGGGAGGTTGTGGTGATGCTGCAGCCAACTGCTGGAATTAAAATCATGGAATCATGGAATCATTAAGGTTGGGAAAGCTCTCCAAGATCATCGAGTCCAAACATTAACCCAGCACTGCCAAGCCCACCACTAAACCATGTCCCCAAGTGCCACATCCACTTGAACACTTGGAACACTTCCAAAGGTGGTGATTCCACCACTTCCCTTGGACAGCCTGTTCCAGTGCTGACCACCCTTTTGGTGAAGAAATTCTTCCTTAATCTAATCTAAACCTGCCCTGGCACAACCAGAGGCTGTTTTCCTCTCATCCCGAGACTATTCCAGCTTCCTTGAGCAGTGCATTTGCGAGAAAGGACGGAGGCTTTGTAAAGGTGGCAACTTTTCCAGCCCCAGTCGGTTCAATACATACTGTGGGTAATTTTTCTGCTAAAAGAAAGTAGATTCAAGCTTGTGCTTAACATTGCAGATACTCTGGATGTTTTGCTGAATCCAGACTGGCTTCTGGAGGTGTCTCTCAGCATTGCTCCAAGCCAGGCTGGTTTTTTTTTTTCCCCTCAATTATTCTTAAAACTTGGCTTTTGAGTCAAGTGCTTGTGGATGTCTCCGTGTGGCAAATTGCAGGGAGAGCTCTCAAAAGAGCTTTAGCTCGAAGGCTCAGGGACCAGCAAGGCTTCAGGGGTTGTTTCCACAGAAAGCTCATGGCTTTTTGGGTGCTGGGGAGCAGATGCACAATCCCATCTGCTGATTCACCAGCACAGGGAACCTTTTGCAGCAGGAGCCACGTGTAGACTTTGTGCTGTGTGTGATGGCTCACTGGGCCTTTCCTTACTGCAAATCCCAAGGAATTGCAGTGAACCCCCTGCACTGGTGCTCAAACCCTGGTTTGGGCCTCAGGATCAAACCTTGTGCTGTTATTTTGGTGTCTGAGGCACTCAGGGCTTCTGCACAGCTTGGGTGTGGATGGCTGTCCTGCCATGGGTGGCCTTTGTGCTGCAGCCTGTCTCTGAAGTGGGGATTTCTTTATTTAATCACCTGCTTTTATTAGATTTGCAGTCTCCCAAAGCTCAGTTTCTCTGTCAGATGGGGCTGGAATGGGCCAGTGGATTTACACTTACCACAAGGGACACAGACCGTCAGATAAACACGTGGGGCGATTTTCTTCAGGAAACAAAGCCAAAAATAGTAATGAATCATAAAAACGCTGTGGAAAATACTGGTTTTCTGGTGGATGGAACAGGTAACATCCAATTTTGTATGTTATTAAGCTGCCTCCACATTCCGAGCTCCTGTGCAGATGATTCTCTCTGCAAACTGCAGTTTAATATGGTGTCATCTCTCAAAGCTGTGGCAAACTGGGGGATTTTATTTTGACAGCAAGACACTTGCTTGGCAGTTCCTATTGAACAGAACTGATCTTGGGACTTCCAATTATTTTTTTTTCCTTGAAGAAAACAACCCTAAACCCTTTAAGCAGCCGTGTCTGGGGAGAAACTCTTTCAAGGGTGTGTGACCTGGACCATTGAGTTTTGGAGCAGCTTCAGGGGCTCAGCTGAGCCTCTCCTGTGCAATGGAGACCTGGGGGCTGGGATAAGAGGGGATCCCAGTTCCTGCACCCCACTGCAGCCTGCTGGGGTGGCAGCCCTTGCTCTGTTCCGTGTTCCTGGTTTTAAGGCAGTGTCAGGGGTTGCTGATGCTTCCTGCAAACCACTCTTAGCCACCAACCCCAGAGGCTTGGAGAGATGAGTGCTTTGCATGTTGGAACAAAAGGAGCTCAGAAACTTGGCCTGATCCACTTGGGAGGCTTGGAATTGCCTGATTTCAGCCCAGGATTCATTAAAGAACCCCACGGTGAGTGGAGTCACCACGTTCCCCCTCCTCACCCCGAGCTCATCCCGTTGGTGCTGCAGGTTCCAGTCCCAGATACAGCAATTCCCATTTGCAATCCCTTCTCCCTGTGCCATCGTGAAATCCATGTTCTATTCTTGCTGCTGTTGTCTCTCTCTCTTCTTTCTTGAAAAGAAAACCCCAAAGAATGTTAAACTGTTCCTGCGTCTTGGCAGCTCGAACGCACCGACAGATTGTGCTTCAAAAAAATGGCAAAGTTTCAAAATATTGTGTTCTGTGAAGAAGAGACAAGGAAAATAAACTCCCCAAAATGCAGATTTTATTTCACCAGAAGGCGGAAGGCTTTTAATATTTATTTGGGTTTGGCACTTGGCTACCTAGTTCTGCTGACACCACTTGTGAGCCACGATAAGATTAAACGCTGTACAACCTGTTCTGGTTCCAGTTCAAATTAGGGTAATTTCCAGTAGGTTCGTTTTCACCCTCCCAGAGCTGCCCCAGAGCGGGTTCCTGAGGTTCAGATGCAGCATATGGGGTGGTGCAAGCAAAACCACGAAGGGAAAAAAAAGAAGAAAGGCAATAACAGAGCGAATTTGTGCCTGTTTGATTTTGGTGGTGCCAATGCGATTGTGGCAGAGGGGAGGGCTGGTCCTTGTGCTGTGTCAAAAGGCAGCTGGTGAGTGTTGAGAGGGAGAGCTCAGCTCTGAGGAGGCAGTTCCTGCCTCTGTGGGCACCTGGGTGGATGTTTGTGTCTGGATTTCCGCACACAGAATCAGGATGAAGATGCTTTTGTTGTGCCTGTGGTTGTCTCGTTTGCTCGGGGATGCAGGCAGAATGAACTCTGGGGGCAGAGAGTTCACTGGGATGGCAGGCTTGGAATATCCACAGAAACAGGGGTTTTGTTTGCCTGCACTGCCAGACCTGTATTTTTGGGATTCCTTTTTTAGCTGCCACACCACCATCCAGAGTACTGTTACCCATTTAGCATCCCGATGGATCCGAGGGGCACTTGGCACAGCTTGGGCAAGGAATGGAATCCAGAGCATCCAGCACAGCAGGGCTTGCTCCTCAGTTGTGCCTTCTGGGTGCCTGTGTAGTTCAACTACGAAAACTAGAAGGAAAAGGGTCACAGAACTGCAGGACTTCCTCCACTGGGTTTTAGTATCATTTTTGCTTCCTCACAGACCAGCTTTTACCTGTTGGGAAGACAGGGCTGTTCTTTGTGCTTGTGAGCGACATTGCTGCTTTTATTTTGCCTTTTCTGTGTTAGATTGGAAGTTCCTGGGAGCAGAGAATTAGCTTTTTTTCCAGTTTTCCCTCTTATGTAAATTCACAGCTCTGTTGATTTCTAATCTTGACAGTGAGTGTGCACAGGGGTTTCCAATAAATTCTTTTCCCCTGAGGTGTCAGCTGGGTTCTTCCATCCTGTCCCATCCTGGAATGACTCTTTGCCAAAAGGAGTGAGCCTGATCCCATCTTTTGGAGCAGACAAGGAAAAAAAATATTAAAAAAATAATAATAACGGCAGTCTGAATTGACTAATTGATTCCTAAAGGTCATTTTCCATCCTGGGTGCCTGCACTTTGATCCAGCACCCCTCTGGCACTGGGATTCACAGGCATCTATTGACAGGAGTCTGTGTCAGAAGGAAAAACAAATTGGAACATGGATAGGTGAAGTTTGAGAGGGAGTGTTGGGAATAGAGGGTAAAACTCCTGCTTAAAAGAAAGGCAGTAACTGATACAAATTGTTAGATTGAAAATGTCAAACACCTAAATTAGATGCCTGTGCCTTTTTGAGGGGGGACCAGGGATTTTCTTACACAGCCAGATGTTTACCTTGGGGTTTTGGTGACATGACTTATGTTCCCAGGTTATTTTATCCCTGGATTCCAAACCCCTTGCTGAAATGTGGCTGTATATGTGCAGTCATAAAAAGGTTCTTGTGTTTCTCTGCTCTCTGCCTGGCTCTGTGTGTGCCTGCTTGGACCCCCTTTACAGGAGAGCTGCAGTTGAACTCCTTGAGAGCTTGAGCTGCATCCAGCTCAGAAAAGCTTGGCTGGTCAGTGTGAACAGAAACAAACAGCTTTGAAGCCTGCAAAACTTAATTCTGCTTTATTTTTGCTGGGTTTGCACAACTTTAATGACCAGGAGATGAAACATCCAGTTAAACATCCAGAAAGTCCAGAATCAGAATCTGGACTTTCAGATTCGATTTAAAAAAAAAGATTTTTAATGCTGCCAGGGTTTGCAGTTATGTATCTGTCATGGTTTAAAATCTGAGGAATATTTTAAGGGATCCTGCGTGGGTAGGAGGAGAAATACCTCTCCCTTTGCATTTTCTGCCTTTGCCAGAGCTTTTGCCTGTTTTCTGTACCAAGTTGGCAGCCAGACCTTGCAGGTCTAAATGAAGACTTACTGAACAAAGGCACTTTATGTTTGAACTCTGTGCCCTGAGTCTACACCACCAGCCTGGCCAGGCATTTATGTTAAATAAGGTCAACAAATATAGACAAGCTGCATTTTGCAAATTAACCCAATCACAACAACAACAACAACAAGGACAACAACAAAAAAAAGCGCCTTTCTTTAACTCTGCCTCTTTCTTGTTTCACAGGCAAGAAGAGAAACCCTGGGCTGAAAATTCCTAAAGAAGCATTTGAGCAACCACAGACAAGCTCCACGTAAGTCTGCAAACACTAAAGGCAGAATGAGGAGAAAACCACAGAGCCCAGTTGCTTCCAGCCTTTGCTGGAGCCTGCAACTGTCCCAGGCCAGGCTGGATGGGGCCCTGAGCAACCTGGGAGAGTGGAAAGTGTCCCTGCCCATGGCAGGGGGTGGCACTGGATGGGCTTTAAAGTCCCTTCCAACCCAAACCATTCCAGGATTGTGTGATAGTAACTTCACAGCCCTTGTATTTCTCAGGTGCATCTCAGCCCATCACCTGTACCCATCACATCCCCAAGTCTCATGTGCTGCTTAATGATGCAGGAAAAGTCAAAAAGCAGAATGGGCACCCAGTTTTGACTCATGTGGCACTCTGATCACCCAGTTTGCATAACATGCATTTGGTCAAGGCATGAAAATGTGTCCCCTTCTCTATGTACTCAGCCTTGCAAAAGGAAACCCTCTGTTTTTGAGGCAATCTGTGCAGCTCCAGCCAGCCTGGCTTTCCTTGCTTCCTTGGGAATTCACTTTTTTTAGCCTGTTATCGTGTGCTGTGTGGCTGAGGTAATAATTTACACTGGGTTTAGACCTTTATGCCCGTTTAATCCATTTTTCATACAGGCTGGCAGAGATTTGGTGCTTGCCAACTGCCTTGCCTTTCACAATGAATCTCTCTGGGTTCCTGCATGGGGAAGTTGGATGTGAGAAATGCTGAGTCCAGCAGTTCCTTCCTGAGCCCTTTTTGGGGTGCCTTTGGCTCTATCTGTTGATCCAGGAGACTAAGGCTGCTCAGGACTTCAGGGGCTGCTGGGTGAAGGTGTGAGGGGATGGCTTGGGGGGACCCCGGGGGTTGTATTTATTCACTGAGGGAAAATTGATCTTTTTAAGGCACATTTCACATCTTTTCCCTCTTCTTTTCTTCAGGCCACCCAGAGATCTAGACTCCAAAGCCTGCATCTCTATTGGCGAGGAGGTAAGGCTGGGGGACCTTTGGGTGACCATCACTTCAACCCCCCCCTCCAAAAAGGGTAGATTAATAAATACCAGCTATTAAAAACAACACAGCCCATTTTACTTGAAATGGAAGGCAGTTACTGGATAAATAAAAGCTGAGAAGAGCCAGCCTGGAAGCTCTGGGGGCTTGTGAGCCCTGACAGCCACCTCCAGCCTAAAATATCTGACTGGCATCTGGTGTTTGTGCTCCTGCAGCAAGGACTGTGTGTGTGGGACACCAGTGTGGCCCCTTGGCCAGCTGCAGAGGGACCTACTGGCTGGCACTGCTCTGATGAACATGCCCCAAACACTCCCCCTCTGCCTCCCTTGGCACGTGGGTTCCCTTCATATTTTCCACCCTGGAAATTCCTTCCCTCCTGCAACAAGGTGCAGCTAATCCCCTGGAAATAACGATTACAAAGCGAGGGGGTTGCTAACAGAGTGTTTCACTCTCCTCTGCGGTTCCTTTGCTGATTTAAAGCCCTCACCCAAAGTGTTTCCCTTCACTAATATTGAAGGCCATCTCTCCTCAGGAGTCGAACTCAGGGTAGATCTTCCTGTCCTGGAAGCAAATCCTTCTGACAGCATGGAAGGCAGTCCACCTGATGGTCTGAAAAAAAATAGCAGGGAAAAAAAACCAAAACCCAGGACAGTTATTTTGATAGGAAAAAAAAAAGGGCAGAACAGAACCCATAAAAGCACTTCAAAACTGGACAACAGATTTATTAGGTGCAGAAGGTAGGCCTTGGTGTCAGCGAGTTAATTTATGAAGTGAAATGCTAACCCAATAGTGTTTTATAATATCTATCTTTGGATTGCTTCTCTTTCATTTTGTATTTTCCCTGGCATGGAGCAGGGGCTGGAAGGTGGAAACAGTGTGAGATGCTTCTGGAGCAAAACTGTGCAGCATGGAGGCAGAGAAAATGCTGCCTGCTGCTAGAGCAAGCAAGGCTCCAAGAAAATCCTTTCTCCCCTGCAGTCCCAGGGATGAGAAAAGGCTCCAGTGCTCCAGAAAGGCTCTGTGCACAGAGGCAGTGCTGGATGGTGCAGAGACAAACACACTCATAAACCCCAGAGCTCGGTGTGTTACAGGCCTGTTCCAGAGGGACTGGCGTGCCATGGCTTGCATTTCCCATGGATCTGCTACTTGTTTATCCAGCCAGGTTCCTTTAGGATGGGCTCCCTCTTCCACCAGCCTTTCTGCACTCACCCTGATCCCGAGGGAAAGCCACTTTCCCTCCTCTCCCTTCAAACTTTGCTGCTTGTTTGAAGAGAGCGCTCCAAGTGCTTTTTTGGAGAAGGGTCCTCATGAACAGCAGGAGCAGTGTCAGAGATGCTTAAATCTCTGCTGTCACTCCAAAATGTTAGTCAGGGCTCCTTGTGCACATTCCCACAGTGCATCCCTGCTCCCCATGGCATCCCCAGCCACTGCAGGCTGCAGGAATTTTTCTGCTGTGCCAGCAAAAAGCCACATGGGATTATTCCCTGTGAATCAGTTCACTCACCCCCTGCCTTCTGGAGGGTGACTGATTGATGTGGTTGTGCCTTCAGCAAACAGAATGGCTGGGTTTAGTGGCAAAGGCATGTTTTAAACATCCAAAAATAATAATAATAATAATAATAAAAAAATAGAGCAGATGCACAGAAAGGGAGAAGGGCAGGTTGGGATGCAGGGTCCAAACAGAGTCATCCTTTGGGTAAGGACAGGAGAAAGAGATGAAAGACAAAATAAATCCTCTGTGGTGTGAAAATGGGACACACTCAGCTGGTATTTGGCCCATCTGCAGGTCTGGAGAAATAAGCTTTTACAGGCCTTAAAAAACCTGGGAGATATTTCTGTGATTGTTTTGGGGAAGAGGGTGGAAGGAAAAAGAAATATTAAAATAAGACTGAAGGTGATTCCCAGGGGAGAAACTGCTGTGGTGTTTTCCATCCCAGCTCTTACAGGATGGAGAGGCTGAAGGTGACTGGGAGGGACAAGACAAGAACATGTAAAGATAGGACAAAGGGGAATAGATCCAAACTAAAAGAGAGTAGGTTTGGATTAGATATTAGGGAAAAATTCTTCCCTGTGAGGGTGGGGAGGCCCTGGCACAGGTTGCCCAGAGAAGCTGTGGCTGCCCCATGCCTGGGGGTGTTCAAGGCCAGCTGGATGGAGCTCTGAGCAACCTGGGCTAGTGGGAGGTGTCCCTGCCCATGGCAAGGGGTGGAACAAGATGATCTTTAAGGTCCCTTCCCACCCAAATCACTCCATAGTTCTGTGACCCTGCAGAACAGCGACTGTGTGTCCTGGGGAGGGGACTCGCAGGGTGAGGGGATGTCCCAGGCAGGGCTGGGTTTGGGGGGCATTTCTCCCCTTGCACAGCCGTGGCCACCTGCTGTTTTTTCTCCCCCAGAACTTTGAGGTGAAGGCCGATGACCTGGAGCCCATCTCCGAGCTGGGACGAGGTGCGTACGGGGTGGTGGAGAAGATGCGGCACATGCCCAGCGGGCAGATCATGGCAGTGAAGGTAGAGTGAGCCTTTGGGGGGCTTCGTGTCTCTGTCGGGGTGTGTGGGCACAGCTCTCATCTCACTTCTTCTCACACGTGCCTTTGCTGAGATTTACTGCCTTTGCTTTGCTTCTTTCCTCGTGAAACTCTTCTTTCTACAGACATTCTCTAACGGTGTTTTACTCTCTGCAGTTCCTTTGCTGGTTTAAAGCCTTCAGCCAAAGTGTTTCCCTTTGCTAATGTTGAAGGCCATCTCTCCTCAGGAGTCTGACTCAGGGTGGATCTTGCTGTCCTGGATCCTTCTGACAGCATGGAAAAGCAGTCCACCTGATGGTCTGAAAAAATAGCAGTCAAAAAAACCCCCAGGACAGTTTTGAGCTCGAGGGGTTCAAAGAGTGCTCAGAGAGATTCAGGCCTTTCAGCCAATGGGTGTGTTCTAAAACTATGATGCTCAGTGTGTTTCCAGCACTGCAGTGCATTAATCACTCACCTTCATCCACAATATCCCTGTCTCCCTAGAATTCTCTTTGCCATGATTTTTTAAACAAACATTTTTTTTTTCTGATGTAGCCGTGCCCTCAGACTCAGGGCTCTGCACTTTGTAAAGAAGAGCAAATTCAATTGCACAGGAGAATTTTCTCCGCCTGGGACTTTTTTTTAGGCTATTTGGAAGGGGAAATTTTTGTTGGGATTTTCACGTTTTGCCTGCTGCAGTGGGATCCTGATCCATGGCAGGCTTGTAGGTGCTGTTATGAAAAGTTTTCATAACAACAGCTTAGACTCATAAATTTGGAGCTTAGGGAAATGGTCATGGGAAAATTTGTAGTTTGGGTAGGACCAGTTTTTGCTTGGCTGAATTTTCCCTCAAGTTTCCTTTCTGAATAAGAAAAAAAAAGATGCAGAGTTGGAAGCTGTGAGCAAACTGAGGGAAGACTCTTAGCTCCTCAGCTGTGGATAGACTTTGCTGTGGGTCCTGGGTGGGACATTCCTCAGGGCCTCTGTGCTCTGCATTTGGTCTTCTTGTTTGCTTTGTTGGTTACCAAAGTGCAAAAGATGCCTGTGAGTGTGATGAAAGATCTGAACAGGGTATGGCAGGAGCATTCAGGCTGCCTGTGATGCTGAACAGTTTAATTCTGTGCCATTACTGGCCCCGAGGGGCTTTGGCCAGGGAGCCTGGAATCTGTGTGTGACCCATGCTGGACTGTGTCATGCCCTGTTGTGGCGTTTCCCAGCTGAGGGTCTCCAGGTATATCCCATAAATGACATCTCTTCCTGGGAGACTGGGAAATGCCCATTTTCCATGCTCTGGTGCAGGGCTGGAGCCCTGCTGTAACAGATGTCCACTGCAGCTCCAAAATCACAGCTTTCCACCAACCTACAGTCTGATTTCCTCCTCCTGCCTCCTCTGCCAACACTCATTTCTTTTGGCTGTTGCAAAGAGAGGTGTTTGCAGGGAAGAGGGAGGATCCCTGTGCTCCTGCCGTGGGTGCTGGGCTTGTGAAGTGCCTGTGTGATAACGGGGGGCTCACGGGATGTGCTGGAAGGGTCAGGGGGGGTGTGAGGGCCCCGTGGCCAGCCCTGGTGTGGCTGTGGCACCCAGGTCTGGCAGTCACCACTGACACTCCCTGTCTTCCAGCGGATCCGAGCCACAGTGAACAGCCAGGAGCAGAAGAGGTTGTTGATGGACCTGGATATCTCCATGAGGACGGTGGATTGTCCCTTCACTGTCACCTTTTACGGGGCACTTTTCCGAGAGGTACGGGATCCTGGGGCTGAGCCCTGCTGCCCCTTCTCCCAGGCTCTGAATTCCCATCCCTCCAGGTGCCAGGGGTTTAATGTCTGTCTAAACACAGGACTTGGTACAATATGGATTTGCTCAGTCCTGGCCCAGGATCTGTCACATACAGTGAGTTTTAGTGCTGGGGACAGCCGGGCACCGAGGCCACCAGCCCACAGCCTGGTCCTCTGGTGTTAATATTGCCCTGGCTTGGGATGAGAAAGCCACAGGGAGGGAAAATGTGGAAAGCTCTGAGAAGCAGGATTTACTGAAGAGCTTTAAGCATAACCCTGCAGAGCTGAACTTTTCCTGGCTGGGCATTAGGAGCCTGAGTTCCGATAACTTTCTGGGCTCCTAAATCACCAGGACTCTGCTTTGGGAAAAAGACAGCAAAAACCACACCCTAAATGGTAGGGAATGTGGACAGCACCTAATTCCAGCTGGAGAGGAGGGAAAGGAAAGCTCAGCACAGTTTTGCTGAATGAGTTTTAAAAGACAGGGAAGAAGCAAACAGGTCAGCAAAGGGCAAGTGCCAAAGAGCTTTGCACAGGACAGGAAGGGAAAGAAAGAAAGGAAAACCTGCACAGGACAGGAAAGGAAAGCAAGGAAGGAAAGGATGCTTGGTTCCAGTAGGCAGATATCTGCTTGCTTTTTTTACAGGGAGACGTGTGGATTTGCATGGAGCTGATGGATACCTCACTGGACAAATTCTACAAACATGTCATTGACAAAGGCCTGACAATTCCCGAGGACATCCTGGGGAAAATCGCCGTCTCTGTGAGTATTAGCAGGGTGAGGAGGGGAGGGAAAGGGGGTTTTCCTTCTGAGCCAAGTCCTACATGACCCAAGCTCCCTGCTCTGTTTGCACCAGGAAGAGCACAGTCCATGGGCCACAGCCCATGTGGCCATTCCCAGCTGGCTTCCAGGATCAGGTCTGAGGTGATGTTATTTATAAGCTGTAAATAATCCAAAAAGTGCCTGTACATGTAATGAAGAAACAACACAGCATGAAATGTGGGGAGGGTCCTGCAGCTCCTTTGCCTTCTCATTAGGGTCCTGGGACATCCCTGGGCACCCACTGTCACCTTGGGCTGCTGGGAGGGTGCAGGACTTGTGGGAAACCCTCCAGGCAGGTCTGATGGGGTGAAGCCAGATGTCATTTCCTCCTCCCCAAGGTGCTGCCAGCCGTGATTGACTCTGCATTTGTTGTTTCAGATTGTAAAAGCACTAGAACATCTCCACAGTAAGCTCTCCGTGATCCACCGAGGTGAGTGCCAGGCACACAGCCCTGGCCATGCTGGGGTCTGTCTGTCTGTCTGTCTGCCCTGCTCTCAGCCTGGCAAGGGCTCCCAAAACACCCCAGATAAAATGGGCCTTTGACAGCAAAACTGTTCCCCGGCATCTCATGACTTGCAGCAAAACCCAGTCAGAGGAAATGGCTGCTGGAAACTGCCTGCTGGTCCCAACTTTTCCCTGAGGTGGAGAAGTGAGCTCCAGCCTGGTTGTGCTGGTTGCCCCGTTTCCCTAAATCTGTGGTCTGCTTCAGCACCTCTGTGAAATTCAGCCAGTCTTCTCCTCCTGAGCTTGGTGAGCTTTGGACCAGGCTTTGCCAAGGTTTCTCCCCCAGTTCTGTGCTGATGTGCAGGGAGAGGCATCTCCGTGCCAGAGTGATGCCTCATGCAGTGATCTACCCATCCTCTCCCCTTCCCTGAGCTTCCCTGAGCACTGGTGGAGCAGAGCAGTTTGATAGCTAAAATAGCCTCCAGTGAAATCATAAATACCCTCCTTAAGCTCTTGTGACATGTTCCCCTCTAGAGCATCTCACAGATGCCATGAACACACTTAGAAAGAAGCAAATTTGAAGTTGCTGCTTGACACCTTTATTTTTCAAAGGGTCATTTTCAATTTGTCACGAGGAGGAAAAAGCCCTCCCTGGAGTGTGTGAGTGCCTGGGAAGGAGCATCTGAAGCAGCAGAGTTGAGCTGGAGCAGGCAGCCACACTGGGTACATTCAGCCTGTGGCTGGGAGTTGAGTTTCTGCCCTCTCTGTATCATTTACAGGAGGTGGAAAGTGCTGCTTGTGTTTCTGTTTACTTGTTTGATTTCCACTGAAAATTGTCTTATTTCAGCCTAGTAACAGATGGGCGAGGATCTCATACCTGAGGGTTTTGATTGCAGAATGCTGATAAGAGAGCAGATGTTAATGAGCTGTAAACCACCCAGTTCTAATAAGCAGGACTCAAAAGCAGCTTCTGGCCTCCTTCAGATGGTGTTTCAGCCTTGTATTAAATAGCTTATCACATGCAGACAGAGGAGAAGAGACCTGGGGTTTCTAGGTGACAGCAGGGAAAGGATTGCTCCCTTTGGAGTCACCTCTGCTGTGTTGGGATTTCATTTGGGATTATCCTCATGGAGCAATTGTCTGCTGTGCAGGAAAGCAACTCCATGCTCTCCTGGATATCACTTCCTGGCATCTTTCTGTGCCTTTACTTCCCTTTCTGATGGGGATTATAACGTGCTGCAAGTGTGAACACACCAGGGATTGTGAGGCCGTGATGGGAAGCAGATAAATCTGGCAGTAATAAATAGATGAGACACTGGCCTGATTTCCATAAGGTGTGGAGCACCCACACACCTGCTGCTGCTCACGCTGCCACCAGGCCTGGGATCCTCAAAATCAGAGCTCATTTCTGAAATCTTGGTCCTTGTCTTAGTTACAGCTCCCTCCTTCCCTGCGCCCCCTGCTCCCTTTCACCCTTTCCTGCCCACTCCTCATGCTTCCTCCATGGTTTTTTCCTTTGCTGGCACGAGGCCAGATCTGTGGGGACTTGCCAGAGCTGCAGCCCTTTGCAGACATCCCACAGAGATGCCCCCAGCCCTGTGGAGCTGCTCCAATGTCTGTGGCCTTCCCATATGCAGTGGGATGTGATGGTTATGTGCAGGGTCACCTCCTGCTTCCCCAAACTGGAGAGGGGAGCCTGCAAGCGAAGGGACACTGTCAGGACACGTGACAGGCCCATGGGGTTGTCACCTGAACGCATGACAGGCCCATGGGGTTGTCACCTGAACGCGTGACAGGCCCATGGGGTTGTCACCTGAACGTGTGACAGGCCCATGGGGTTGTCACCTGAACGCGTGACAGGCCCATGGGGTTGTCACCTGAACACGCAGCCAGCGGGGTTGTGGCGTGTCCAAGGCTCAGGGCTCTGCACGGGCTCCTTGGGTGCCCTCTGCTGATAGGAAGCTCTTCAGCTGTTTTTGGCTTGGCCCAGGCACCCACGTGTGACAGTGACTGTGGTCTGTGTTCCTTCTTGCAGATGTAAAGCCCTCTAACGTGTTGATCAATACGCAGGGGCAGGTGAAAATGTGCGATTTCGGCATTAGCGGTTACCTCGTCGACTCGGTTGCTAAAACCATGGATGCAGGATGCAAACCCTACATGGCTGTAAGTTGAGCTGTGGAGAAGCTGCGTGGGGAGCAGCCAAAGGAACCTGAGCTCGGGGGGAAGGATCAGCCTCTGGCATGTGCCCTGGGAACTCCTTTGGGAAGATGTATCCCTTGTAAAGGGGCAGAGAGGGAGTCGGATCTCGTGGGTCTCCTGGGCACAGCTTCCTGCTGCCTTCTCTCCTCCCTGTGACCTTGGGAAATGCTCTGGAATTGTTCCTTCTTGTGTGTTTGCCTCATGGGGACAATAGTACTTGGCATCTGGGAGGAAAAACAGTCCCCAGGGATTGGGTCCCTCAGGCTTCACCCTTTGTGGGGCACTAGCATGGGGTGAAAACAGTCCTGGAGAACTGAGGCTTGTCACCCCTCCGTGCCAGCTGTGCCAGGTCACCTCCACCACACCAGTCCCTGGTGCAGGTGCCACCTGCTTCTGGTGACCCATTTCACTGCCTGCCCTTACTGGTGAGGATGGGAGCCAGATTTAGCCCCACAACAACCAAGAGAGCAGCCTGGTGATGTGGGCTGAGGGGTCCTGTGCTAAGAGCCCCCCTAAAAGCCCCTGCTGAGGTTGGTGAGCCCTGGGTGTGGGCATGGCACTGGGACCAGCCCTGTTCCTCACCCACCTCTGTCTCTCTTCACAGCCTGAGAGAATCAACCCGGAGCTGAACCAGAAGGGGTACAGTGTCAAATCTGACATCTGGAGCCTGGGCATCACCATGGTAGGGTGACCCCACAGCCCTGCTGGCACCGGTGGCACCGGTTCCTTGGGAGGGTGGCGGACTGGGAATGGGAATACAGCTCTGGGGGGACAAGGGAATGTGCTGCAGGGTTGAAGGGAAGGAGGATGGAGCTGCTTTGTGAGCTCCTTGCTGCCACAGCTGCCAGGAGATGGCAGCATGGACTAAGGCACAGGCGTCTGGCGCCTGGAGCAGGCTGGATTCCAAGCACAAAGACGCCCTCCCAGCACTCAGCAATTAGCAGAGTCCCCCTCAGGAGAGCAGGGATGGGGAGTGTCTCCCACGTAGTGTTTAGGGGGAATCCATCTGCTCACAAAGTTGTTTTACAGCACAGTTACCCTGTGCTGTGTGGGGCTGGTTTTAACTTCTTCTTTCCTGGGTGATGTCGGACATGGGGGTAACAGGGAATTGAGTATGGATCCATGTGGATCTCCTCTGACCTCTCCCTTTTGCTAGGGGAGGTTAAGCAAGATGTTATGGCCAGGGTGGTGAGGAAATCATAGAGTGGTTTGGGTTGGAAGGGACCTTAAAGCTGCTTTTGTTCCACCCCCTGCCATGGGCAGGGACACCTTCCACCAGCCCAGGTTGCTCCAAGCCCTGTCCAACCTGGCCTTGGGCACTTCCAGGGATGGGGCAACCACAGCTTCTCTGGGCAACCTGTGCCAGGGCCTCCCCACCCTCATAGGGGAGAATTTCCTCCTAACTTCTAATTTATATCTCTCCTCTTTTAGTTTAAAACTGTTCCCCCTTGTCCTATCACTGTCTGCCCATGTAAAAAGTCACTCTTCCTCCTGTTTGTGAGCCCCCTTTAGGCACTGAAAGGTGCTCTGTGATCTCCCTGGAGCCTTCCCACCTCCAGGCTGAACAATCCCAGATCTTTCAGCCCATCTCCATAGCAGAGGTGATCCAGCCCTCCAATTTGTGTGGAACCTAAAAAAACCCCACACCCCAGGGTGGGGCACACGGGAGTCCGAAATCCGTGGGGCGGGTGGGCTGTGGGGTGTCCAGTGCCAGTCCTGAGGTGTGGGCTGTGTCTCCCCAGATCGAGCTGGCCATCCTGCGCTTTCCCTACGACTCCTGGGGGACGCCCTTCCAGCAGCTCAAGCAGGTGGTGGAGGAGCCGTCGCCGCAGCTCCCAGCAGAGAAGTTCTCAGCGGAGTTCGTGGATTTTACCTCGCAATGGTAAAACACCTCCCCGGCCTCTGCCGTGCTAGGGGAGGCTGGGGGACACACCTGCCCATTGGCATCCTGCACCCCTGTCCCCATAGGCAGCTCCTGGGGGCACAAACCCGGTTTTTGGGTAGAACGTGCCCTCGCTGGGCCTGGTGGGCGCCTGGCACTGTGTGGGCAGAGCAGTGGTGATGGTGGCTGTGAGGGTCTCACTGCCTGAGGTGGTGAGGAACAAACTCGGTCCGTTTTGGGGAGGAGGAAGGGGTTTAGGAGGCTCTGGTTGCCCCCCCAGCAGCAGCACAGGGTTCCTGTGTGCACAGGCAGGTGCAGCCAGGGGGCTCCTCCAGCCCCCTCATGTCCCTGCGGCTGGAAGGGGGAGCAGGATATGGAATGGCCGCCTCCTCCTGCTTCCACTCCCAGGGGGCACAGCTCTGAGGGCAGAGTTTGCCCCGTGGTGGCCCCTGTCAGACTCTGCCCCGCTCCCAAGGCCCTCCAGCTGCTGCTCCTCCGCTTTCCACGGGACTCGGCGCTGGAAGCAGCGGGAGAGTTTGGCTGCGGCGCAGGAACGGGGCTGGAGCAGACGCTGCTGTCTGGAGCTGTGAGGGCCGTGCAGAGCTCCGGCTCTGCAGCGCCCGGGGAGGCTCAGAGCTGCCCTCAGCCCGTGGTTCACAGAGCTGGCAGCTGCCCCGCAGCTCCTGACTGCCGCTCCCTCCAGCTCCCTGGAACCGCCGGGGAGGCGGCTGGATTTTCCAGGCGCTGCAGTGCCACGCGCCGCCTGCCAAGTTGGCAGGTGGATGGTGGGTTTGTGTGGTGGCCAAGAAAGGACGGCACATCGACAAATACAGAAATGTGAGACTGTTCCCCAGTGCCAGGGTCGGGGCCAGAGCCCGGCCGGCTCTGCCGTGACCCAGGAAGGGGATTAGCAGCCACTCCTGCCCGGGGACTCTCAGTGCCGGCGTTCGGATTCCTGGGAGTCGTGTCCAAACATGTTTTCATGTCCCTGTCGTTCAGCTCCTCACCTCCCCACCGACCCGTGCTGGGGAATGCCTGCCATGCCCACACTGCTCTGTGTCTGGAGAGGTGGGAGCTGCCCCCCCCAAAAATGCCCACCGTTCTCACAAGGCCCACGCTGAGGTTTTGGACCAGCTGCTGTCCTCCCATGCTGGTTGTTATTGCCAAGCTGCCTGTTTGTGCCAGGCAGGCTGTTCCTCACTGAGTGATTTGCTCTTGCAAGCCCAGTGTCCTGCAGCTCAAGCTGTGGCTGGTTTAGGAGTTACATCCACGGCCACTTTGGGGAGCATGTGGCGATTCCTCTCTTTGCAAATCCTGCCCTTTAGGATCACTGAAGATCTGTCAACGCCAGCATTGTGGCATGGACTCAGAACAGGGAGTTTGGCTGCAGATTGCACTAGTTTTGCGTTGCTGGAATCTGAGAATTTCTTCTGTCACCAAACCAGGTCACATCCACTCAGTGTATCAAGCCTGGCTTGGTTCTGTGTCTAATCCATCTGCTGCCTGGGGCACTGAAGTCTGATCACCTGTATCCACTGCAGGAAGGTTCCTGGGATGTCTGAGTCAGGATCAGATCCCAGTATGACTCTTAATTCCTGAAAATTTACATTGATTTCAGTAATTTGTCACCAGATTTCCTGGTATTAATAACCTAGGAGCGAGGTTTTTATTCACAGAGGGTCTAAATTAAGAGGATTATACCAAATCTGGGCACACCTAACCTTGAAATTCACCTTGTCATCTTGGCTCGGGCTGCTCTGGAGCTCAGAGGATGTGACACATCCCGTTACCTTCAGCTCGGCGGTGTTGGCACGTATCGGCCCTCGGTTCCTCTGTCCATTCACAACATGACACTGAACACGAGCCCTCTACACACAGCAAGCAGGAAATATCTATTCAGTGTGTGTCCCCTGCTTCCTCTGGGCTCCTGCAAATCCCAGCAGAGGAGCGACTTATCATTGCCGAGGTTCTCACTTTTGTTTTGCTCAGTGTGACACCTTTTCCCCGCCACCGCCGTGTACGTGTGTGAAGATCTTTTCAAGTTGCTCCAAGCGTCTTTCCCCTAAATACACTGCCAGGAAGTGAGTAGAGATTACGTCCTGTCTTTTTAAAAAAAGCTATTTTCTGCTGGAGGGAAACCAAAATAGCTCCCAGCTACAACCCTCCAGAGCCATCTGTTGTAGGAGAGGAGAAAAAAAGGATGTCCCATGGAACCGTCCCCGCTGATAACGGCACGGGGATAAACAAATAGTTGTACACGTGCTTTGGAGCCACTCAGTCACTGCTCCCAGTCAGAGGTTGCAGGCTGTATCCATTCCCTTAGTCACTGACCTACTGCAGGGCACCCAAAAACCCAGTTGTGCCTGACCACCAGCAACAGGCAGTGTATTAACTGGTGCTTATGGTGTCTCCAGGTCCTGTTTGACCCTGAGCTCAAAGCACTTGTGTACCCAGCCCTGTGTTGATTGATCTGACTGGCCTTGATCATGTTGGCTGAGGTGTCCTCAAGGTTTAAGTTTGCTCAGCGTGGATGAGTAGCTGAACTTATTCTCCAGGGGCTTGAAACCTTGCTTTTTTCATGGTATAATTTTATGGCTTAAATTGCAGACAGAATGTAACTTTTAATCTTTTCTTCTTTTTCTTTTTCTCCATTAAAGCTTGAAGAAGAATTCCAAAGAACGGCCAACATACCCAGAGCTTATGGTGAGTGTGGCTGCATCAAGCAGTGTGTTGGTTCAGAGCTGCAGTGGGTTACAGTGAGATGCTGAAGGCAAGGATTCCAGTAATGATGAGGATTTGGGATGCTTAGCATCTCCTTTTTCATAACAGACGTGAGAATTGTGACACTTCAGAGTCCTGTGAGGGTGACTGCCAGTCAGAGATGCTCTTTGAAATCTCATTCAGGTGCTTTTCCAGTCACATCAAGAGAGAAAAATTGGTAAAAGCAGGTAATAGATTTGCTAAGGGAAAAGAACGAGGCTGTGAAGAATCAGTGAGGATAAAATCATCCTCTTGGGTTTGTGTGATGGATTCAGACACCTCAGTGTGCCCTGGATGATCCACATGGGCTGCAGGAGCTGAGTGCCCTGGGCTTTACTGCTATGGTGCCTTGGAGAGGAGACTTTTTGGACAGAGTAATTCCTGGATGTTCGGGACAGAGACAAGTCTGTGACTAATAATTCCGGTTATTGAATTTCATCTGCTGCTTAGAGACTGTTTGCTGGGAGCACGTCTGGGACAGAGGAATAACTGAGGAAGAAAAGGCCAATAAAGTCTGGGGATGGGGCAGGGCAGGGCAGGGCAGGGCAGGGCTCTGGGTGAGCTCCCAGAGCAGACACTGAGGTCTGCTCAGCCACTGCTCTGGGCTGCAGCTGGCAAGAACAGGTTCTTTTGGGCAGACTTTTCTGCTAGGGCTCCACAGCTTCATGGCCTCTCTCTTCTGACTCTCTGGTATTGATCCTGGTGCTCCTAAAAGCTGGCAACAAGCACAGGAGAGTTTAGGAAGTCAGTGTTTCACTCCTGTAGGCATCTAGTCCTTTTTCTCACTCTCACCTCATTCACAGTTTGCTAAAAGCAGGAAGGTGCCTAACTTTGTTATTTCTGAAGATCCTGACCCAAATGCTTGCTTGTCCCTACATTCCCACCCCTTACTGGTGCCACTGGCAAGATCTTCTGGGTTAAGGCTGGAAACTGCTGCAGAAGTTCCTCAGGTGGTGGTATCCCTCGAGCTGTAATTCTTGGGACAAGCCATCTGGAGGATCAGTGTCATTGTCACCTCACGCTGTCTGCTCAGAGGGCTGAAGGTGCCAGGGTTTAGGGTGCTCTGGCTGCAGGTCATGCTGGAAATCCACGTACCTCTTGAACCTGAGTTGTCAGCAATGAATAATTCCCGTGGCATTTCGTGCTGGGCCCTGTAATTCAATTAGACTATATATAGCTCTGATTGACACACAGTTTGCCCAAATACTGGTTTCAAACAAAGGGAGGCCCGAGGTTTATGACTTTTTTTTTTTAAAAAAAACAACACCCTTTTTTTGGTATATTATTGAATAAATACATATATTTATTTTAAGCAAATTTCTGAACTTTGCCAAATGGCCTTTTATCAAAAAGGTTCACCGAAGCAGCTCCGTCTGTTGCAGCATTAATTCCCACTGGCAAGCGAGTGCATTTCTATTGAATTAGGTTCTTGGATCACCTCTCTGGAGTATCTCAATGCTGTGGTATTTTATGGCTGACATGAATGTTGTGAGGTCCTGTGGTTGAGGGTTGCTGTTTTGTTGGGGTTTTTTTTCTCTCTCTTATGGCATTAAGTTGCGGTACTGGATTGGACTTGTCATTTAGACCAAGACTGCTCCCTTGCTTTCCTGTGGAATTGAGGTTTCTCATGGAAAATATGACTCTGTGCTATCTTGAGCATCAGGAAAACTGATATGGGTGCTTAATTTCATTTTCAAACCCACTTCCCCAGGTGAAGTGGAGCGTGAAACTACTGCAGGGCCGGTGGTCTGCACATGGCGTGGAGCACATCCTGCCTGGCACGGGGGGCTCTGTGCTCTGGCCAGGCTCAGGCACTGCAGAGGGGTTGGGTTCACTGGGACACGGAGCTGCAGGTCACTGCTGCCACCCATGTCACACTTGGGGGTGCTTCCAGGCTGTGGTAGCTCTGCTTTGGGTGTGACTTCACTGGGCTGTGAAAGCAGCGGCATCACGCTGGGATAATAACACGGCAGGTCATTTAGGTCACCTCTCCCACAGTTATTCAGGACGCTTCAATTCCTGTGACTGTCTGACCTAGGGAGACCTTAAATTTTGCCTGGATCCTTGCCTCAACCCATTTCAGCCCTGTTTCCCACATAATTGTGCTTCCTCTTCCTTTCTGGTGTGTCTTTGGGTCGCTTCCCATCTCCTCAGAGCTGCCTCGATAACTTTCCACTCAAGCCCACCTTGGAAAATCTCTTTTCTTTGCCCTTCTCACTGCCATAAACAATCATTGAAACAGCCAGTGCTTGGGGACTGAGGTGAGGGGGGCCAGCTTGAAAAAAAAAAACAACAAACCCCTGGAAATCCCAAATTGTCTTTAAAAACCTGTCTTGAAATGAGAGGGTCTTTATTCAAACTGAGCTCCTCCAACCTTGCACAGAGAGGTCACTGTGAACCCTGCAGGGCCCTGGCTGGTTTTTGGTTCTCTCTGACACTCTCCATACAAATAAATCCACTTCTCTGCCAGGACAGTGGGTGTCAAGCAGCGTTTTGGGGATTTCAGGTGGGAGTGGGCTGATCTCAGCTGACGTGTTGCAGCCCCCGGTACCAAAGGGAATCGCTGGTGTTGGTTGAGAGGGGCTTCTGTTGCTGTCAGGGGGTGTTTGGTTGTGTTTTCCCTCCTTACACGTATTTTTCCATTCGTGCTGAAATGTAGGCAAGATTTTCTGGCAGGATGTCTCCCCGTGTTGGTCAGGATTAAGTAGTTAAACATACAAGTGCGGATGGTTTTCCAGTCGGGATGGCTTTCCTGTGCGGTGGCTGGGGTAACGTAGCCATGTCCTGCTGCAAATAGGAGCAATTCAGGGAAGAAATGAGACTCAGAAGTCACCAGAGGGTAAATACACAGATAAAGCAGGAAGCTGAGGGAAAACCCACTGCAGTCAGCCTTCCTGCAAGGTTTTCCTTGCTCCTGCTGGAGCTGGTGGGATGGGTAACCACCGCCTTGGGAGGAGCAGCAGAGCTCCGAGGGGCACGATGTGCTAGAGATGGAGGCACTGTTTGAGCACTGAGAGCAGCCCAGCTCAGCCCTCCTAACCAGGCCAGAGTTTAGAAGGAATCCATGAGGGCAGCACAGCTCTGCAGCTTTCCTGGAGTGGCCCCTGGGGCTCCCCGACTTGCCTCAGCTGCAAACATGGAAAGCCCAATATTATGGTGCTGATGCCAAACCCTTTTTCACTGTCTAGAGGGTCGTCTGAAAAGGTTTTTGGTTCGGTCCTCAGCGTCGTGAATAATAAACTTTGCTGTTTTCTCTCTCTTTTCTTTCCCAGCAACATCCTTTCTTCACCCTGCACGAATCCAAAGAGACAGACGTCGCCTCTTTTGTCAAGCTCATCCTGGGAGACTGAGAACTGGACTTGTAAATGAATTGCCCTTCTGTGGACTGGTGGGTGCAGGGGAGGGGCGCGTGGCAGGACTTGTCATGGAAGCACCAACAGAAAGTCGCCGTGTTTTTGTTTTGTTTTGTTTTTTTATTCTGAGAAACCCCCACCTTGCCGAAGTTTTTTAAAGGGTTCTTTGGTATCCATAGTGACATAGAACGAGCTGGTTAGTGAAATGAATTTTAATAAGGTTGGTAACCTTAAAACAAAAACAAAACAACAAAAAAAAAAAGAATTTAAAAGAGTGATTTACATATTTAATGACAGTCGAAGTCCCTCTTCCTAACTTGCTCCTCATCCCCCTTCCCTTCCCCGTGAACCAGAATTTGCTTTGTCATGGTAATAGGTGCTATGGTAGTCATGAAGTTGTATGTAGATTTATATTTTGTCCCTTCCATTATTTTAATATTTATGTTAAGTGCTTGATGGAATAGATTTCTGTTTTATATGAGGATGAGTGCGTGGTGACGATGATGATGCTAAATGAGGCCACAGCAAGCAGCAGTCGTAGGGCTTCGCTGGGGGAAAAGGTGTCAGAGGAAAAGAGGAAGAAGAGGAGAAGTGTCTCTGTTGTGGAAAATATTTAATGTGCATCGTAAAAGGAATTTATAAGCAAGACTTGCAGCTGCTCGAGCTGCTCTCACAGAGTGTGAGGTGTAAGAAAGGGAGGTCCCGGTGCCCCTTCTCTGGACACCGTGCTCCGAGCCCAGCCTGGGGGGCACTGCCAGCCCCCAGCTGGGACAGCCCCTGCCCCATGTCCCAGGGCCTCACAGTGGGTAGGTTATGGGGTCTGGAGTGGGAATCGCTGGGATGGTGTCTGGGACAAAAGCCCCAGAGGGAAGGAGGTTGTCAGATGAGTTGCACAAAGGTGAGGAGGGGGCTGCGTGGTCAGTGCCCGCCTGCCCGTGGGCCCAGCAGCGTTGCAGTGCCCGAGGCTCCCTTGGGCTGGGGATGAGCTGCTTTGGGCCTAAAAGGGAGTTCCTCTCTCCTTCTCCAGATGGGACAGGATCACAGGATGCATGGCATGACACCTGTGAAAAATGGGATGCTTTAGAGTTGGTTTCTAGGGCCCTTGGCACTGTGTGGGCAGCAATCCCTCCGTGCTTGCCCACACTTTGGGAGTGCTGGTGCTCCCCAGGAGCCCGTGCTGGCACGTGGTTTGGGCTGTGTCCAGCTCTGGCTGGGATGCTGAAGGCAGCAGGAGCGCTGGGCTCTGGCATGGGCTGCAGGTGTGTCCTGTGGGAGCTGCAGCCTGGAAACCATGCAGGGACACCACAGCCCACCCCTACCAGGGGCTCGTTGCTGTTGGAGAAAAGCTGCCAGCCAAGGGCAGGAGAACAGGGGCTGTTGGGGTGGGAAGGGAGACACAGATCACTCAGCCTTTGGGTCACACAGTTACTGTCCAGAGAGGGGGGGACTGTGCACTGTGAGGTGTTGTGGGGCTGGAGCGAGGCTGCTCCAGCTTAACGCTGTTGGACTGAGCCACACCCGCCCAGCTGCCTCCCCTGGCCAGGAAGGCCTTGGTCTCCTTCTCCCAGCCCTGTGAAGGGCACTGCCTGTGCCTCCTGCCCCTCCACACGCTTCCCATCCCCATCCATCGCTTTGGCGCAGCCTCTCAGAGTCAAACCCCAGCTAGAAACTAGCCTTGCTCTGCAGTGTTCATTGTGCAGGAGATAACTCAGCCTGGGGTCCAGCTCTTGCTCTCCCAGTTTAGCAACTCCAGACTCCGCTGGTGCGGGCTGGGCTTCCGGAACAGTCTGAGCGTATTTTGGGAAGCGATCCCTTGGAAGGGCTGATGGGGAGGGCAGAATTTAAGAGCAGGGGTTCCCCAACGGTGGCACCTCTGGTGCTGGGGACACACCAACGCTTTGGAAGGCGCACACAGACACCACCAGTGCCTGGGCTGGCACTGCCACCGGCACGGCCGTGGCTGGCACTGCCCACGGGGGTGGCTGTGAACCCAAAAACGGGAAGAGATAGGAGAGCTTTGCTCACGGGAGTTTATCAACCCTTGTGCCCCTCGGGGGGGGGCTCTAAGAGGGCTTGCAGGGATTGGGGTGCAGCTCACAGGTCATGCAGACTTTGGGGAGGAGGTTCCACATCCCGCTCCGTGCCGAGGGGAACCTTTCAGGTTGCGTTTTGTGGCGGATGAAACACGAGGATGTTTTACTTCACAGTGTAATTTTAAGAGGCCTCGCATGGCTCGTAATCTGCCCTCTCATATTCCATGGTGTGTCTGTGTGTGTGTTTTCTCTCTCTCACTTTCTCAGAGTCGCAGAGCTGTTTTGATTGATTGTCCTCAGCTGCAGCTAAAAGTCCAGCCAGCCAGTTTATAGACGTGGTTCCAGCATCAATTCTCGCTTTGAAAAACATGACATTTAAAACCACCCTTTGGTTTTCCTACATATGGATCTGATGCTTTTGTTAAAGATTGTTTTTGCCGCTTTTCTCCTGGAATATAAGTCTCATTTGGACACCGCATCTCCTTGACCTCAGAGCACCTTTATTTCAGTGCCATTGTAATTGACAGGTTGAATTTATGAGATACTGTCAAAGTTCAGTATTAATAGCAGATATTAATGTCACCAGCGTTTTCCAATAGAAAATTAATGTCAGTGTTGTCTGCAGCTAGTAACCCTCTAAAAGGATTCCTACATGCCTCCACACTGCATGCTGAGTGCTTGCTTTTATGCTTTTTGCTCTTACAGTGCTTGGGCCCTCTAATCCTTTTGTTTTAATGACATTTCAATAGGGCAGGCAACAAATCACTTCCCTTCCCTGCTCATTCTCCATGACTTTGTTCCTTTAAAAGTCGTTTGCGTCAGCCCAGAGTAAGTGTGGATCCGTGTGAGGATGAAAACAGTGATCTGAGGGATCACCACTGTGGAGGGGAGAATGCAGAGGCTGTTGGTCTGTCCACGCATCCCTCGTGGCATGTGTGGACACAAAGCTTGGCCTGACCCAGGCATTTCTTAGAGAGAAGCCTGAGCTGGTGGCCTCGGCTCAGGGAGGAGAGCCAGAGACTCCTGTGTGCTTAGAAGTTCTGCAAAAACACTGGGCTGCAGGATGAAAGTCAGACTCTTCTCTCTTTGAGTTGATTGTAACCTCTGTGGAGATGAAAAGCCTTTGGTCACTGCCCAGATCTTTGCTTGGCTGTAACACAAGCACAGCCTTGCCTTGGACAGATATGGTTGCTGGGACATTAAACCTGTCCCAACCCCTGAACAGCCAAGGTGTTGAGGCTTAAAGCTGTTCTTCAGAAAGCTCTTTTGTGTTCACACAGCACAGGACTGTGGGCAGCCTGTTGGATTGCCCTGAACTGGGATTTTTAAAGACACAGGTCTCATGCCATAAACCTGAAAGAACCCAAACTCCACCAGGGAGCAGGGAGGGGAGCAAAACTGCTGGAGCTCAGCACTGAGCTGTGACTTGGACCAGCCGTGGATGGATTCCAGCACAGGGAGCCTTTTGCAGGGCAGGGAGGGTCTCTCTGCCACAGGTTATTGGGCTGCAGGAAAGAGGCACAGCCCATCCCTGGGTATCCCTGGGCATGATATTCATCCTCTTCTTTCCCCCCACCTTACAGCTCTTGATGTTCCTGCAATCTCCTGAATGTTTGAGGCCTTGCCATCGCTACAGCTCTGAAGTGTCACTGGCAGGAAAGCTGTTTTCTGGGTCTCCAAGAGCCCACTGGCCCCTTAAATCTGAAAGAGGGCATTTTCTGGTTACTGTTTTTAAACAACAGGTACATGCTGCTGCAGTGGGTGCAATGCCCATCTCTTCTGGAGTTTTTTCCAGGTGTACAAACCCTTACACAGATATCTCTGTACTGTATTTCTGTGTTTTCCCTGGCTTGTGTCAGGTTTACTGGTGAGGAAGGAGGCAGCTCTGACTTGTTGAAGAGGTGGAACAACATTTCTGGAGGCAGGTGGCCTCCCCTGTGTGATGGAGGAGGCACTTGATGGGGTCACTACTCAGAAAAAGCTCTCAAGAAAGATTTGCAGTTGATCTCCCTGTTATCAACATGTGCTGCTGCTCCTTGGTGGGAAGGGGCTGCCAGACCCTTTGCCCAGGCAGGGAGCAGTGCCTGGTGCTGAGGGCAGACCCCAGCACGCACAGCCTTAGCTGGGATTTCTCCATGCTTGCTACAAGCCAAGTGTGTACCTGCACATTTCCCTTCTTCCCTGGACATTCTGGAAGAGGAAATCCCGCTCGGCCAGCACAGCATTGCTTTAGTGGCTGGTCTGATGTAGTTCAGACAAGGTTCCCACCAGCTCCCTTGTTTAATAGACCTCTTTTTTATTAAAAACAACCCCCAAACTCCTCTCTCAGAAAAGCCAGCCAAGATGCTCTTTTCTTTTTTTTTTTTCCTCTCTTCCATCTTGTTCCTCTTAGAGCAACTCTGGGAGCCCGTCTTGGTGCTTTCACTCTTCCACATGCCAAAGATTGCTACATCCCTCTTAGTTACTCTCCTGCCAAACCAGATCTTATAGTCTTGCCTCAAAAATCATGCACTTCCCTGCTCCTTGGGGTTCCTTTTGTTGCTGTTGCTTTTTCATTGAATTTCCTCATGTTTATTGACATGTCTATTGTTGAGCTTCCTGGACACATGCAGCTCTCTTTTTCAGATACAGGGAAAGACAAATAGTTGCCTTCACTGCTCTGCCCCTGCTGTTGGGGAAATACTGTTAGTGATATGATTTCTACCGATGGGATGGGTCTCATTTAGAGCTCGGAGGGTGTAAACTGGCATTGCTCCATTGGCTTGGCTGGAATAAGGCCAGTTTTGTCCAGCCGAGAATCTGTCCTTAATGTCTAAACAGTTATTACACACTAATAAAGATTAATGATTGTAAATCCCCACGGATTATACATAAAATGGCAAGTTTTACTCATTAATCTTTATTGCCATGTTATGGCTGTTTATGTTAGAGGAGTCGCCTCTCTCTGCTCTGAACATGCACTGAGGAGGTGGGGGGTGAGCATGGGGGAGATGGAGGGTGGACAGAGCAGACCAGATGTCCACATGTTTTACAGTCTGTGTCCTCCCGCCAGGTTCCTTGTTTCCTTGAAAGCCGTTAACCAGCAGCAAAGGATGTATCCCAGAGCTTTGTCTGCCTTGCTGGCCTCTGCCTGGGCTATAAAATCCAGATTGTTTCTGGTGAGAAGGGATCAGATCTCCTAATTAATATTTCAGCTCAGCCTTTACTGGAGCAGATGGAGAATATGAAATTTGACGTGTGCTCTGGCAGTGCTGGGAGATTCTCTCTCCTGGACCGTGGCTGGAGGAGATGCTTTCTGGGCAGTGACAGGTTGAAAGGACACTGCTCCTTCACGTAACCCCACACCATGGAAACAGTGGATTTTGTTAGTAAACAGGGCCAGAAAAAGCTCATTGAATCTCAGTTTTTAGGTGTTTGCAGATGCATATAGACACAGCCAGGAGCTGGTGGTGCCAGTCTGGACACAAAGGCCCATGTGCTGTATAAATGACGAGGAGTCTAAAAGAGTGCAGTAAATTTAGTGATGGATTTAATGGCATAGGGATAAAATGAGTCCTCTGATAGGCAGCTGTGCCAATCCACCCTGCCAGGGGAAAGTCAGGAGCAAAAGGAGAGGGCAGGACACAGCCACAGATTCCATCGAGTGCACAGCCTGCTGAGAGCAGCCCTTCTCTCCCCATGTACTCCTTCAGGCTCAGATCTGGGGGCAGTGAGTTTGCTCACAAGTTCCAGGTTGTCACTGCATCCCCAACTCCAGCAAGGGAAGCGAAATCTAAAACACAAAAAGAAACCCACAGGGAAAAAAACTCCAAGTGAACCAAGACATGTTGTTGCTGCGTGGCCTCGTGCGTCGCTGCTTCCCCTGCTGAGCTCCCACTTAAACCATGGGAAAAGCACAGGAGAGGCCTCTGGAACTGAGAGAGAAATGGCTAAACATTTTAAGGTGGTCTCTGACAAGCCTAATGCTGGAAATATCTAATTTCCAGGCCACCAGGACGAGTGAATCCTTGAGGGGCCTGCGCAGCCGGCAGTGCCGTTCCAGCGGGAGCACTTGGGGCTGCAGGATGTTTATGACGCGGCCTCCTTTAGTGCCCCCCTGGGTTGCTCAAAAGCCCTTTGCCTCCATCCACACCTGACTCAGTCTCAGTCACCTTCATGGCTTATGTTTTACTGTCGGGGGTTTTACTGGCAGCCTCTTTTCTCGGCGGTTGGTCAGAGCGAAGGGAAGGGAAAGGGGCCTCCAGCCAGCTCGGCTTTGGGAGAGGAAGGAGCTGCCTGTGCTCTCCAGTCCCTGCTTGAAGGGAAGCCACAAACCAGGAACTCGCTACCCCACAGGTATCCAGCTGAAGCAAGAGCTTCTCCCTTCGTGCTTCGCTGCCATTCCGTTAAAAATCCCTGTGGGAAAGCGGAGCAGCTCCGGAGCTGCGGCAGCGTCGCTCCAGGGCGGCTCATCCCTGCCAGCAGCCAGGATGGGCCGCCTTTCCTTCCTCGAAAGGCTCTTGGTTTTCTCTAAATGATGGGGCAGGAGTCCAGCTGGGGCTGTGAGGTACCGCGAGGATAAGCTGGGAAGAGCTTGGAAGCGCCTTAAATGCTCTGGAAGTAGGGATGGAAATCTCAAAAGATCAGACGCCTTTCGGCGATTTCCAGAGCTACACGGCTTTAGCCAGACCTGAAAACCCTTCCTAGAAGTTTTATTTCAGGGTATTTTGATCTGTTACTTTCGCTTTTGGGCTTAGCTAAATCCAGGAAACTCGGAATGGTGTAATTCTTGAATGAAGACTAAACACACCCCAAGCGTTATTGAACCGATCAGGAAAGTTTCTGTTTGGTTTATCTTACAGGAATAATTCAGGCCAGCTCAGATTCAGTCTGGTTTTACCCCAGATAATTATTACTTTTGAGAAAATAAGAGAGCAGACCATGGTCTTTCCAAAAGGCTGTGACCCATCAAACAGTGCCAGAAGGTGGATGGAGATAAGTGCTGCAGGGAGAGGGGGCCAATGTCTGAGGGCTGGAAGGAGCAGCCTGGCTGCAGGAATGTCCATGGCCTCGAAAAACACACAGAGAGACAGCTTCCCCAGAGGTTGTGTGATGGAGGTATCGGGGTCTGCCACGTCTCGGGTTTTTTCCCTCTAGGAAAGAACATTCAGCCATCTTGGAGTGTCCTGGAACAATATCCAAAAGCCTTCAGTGTTTCTCAGCTCAGTCCTGTGGGGTTTTTTTCAGGATGGATGCTGTGAAAAGCCAGGAAGGGCCAGGTGTCCTTGATTTACACAGCCAGAGTGGAGAGATGTAGATTAAGTGCCTCGTGAGAGCCAAAAAGGTGTGCTTGAAGATGAATTACAGTCTCTGTCGTAGCCGCTCAGCCAGGATCAAATTCTCCCATGTACAGGTGCAGCTGCAGAGCTCTCCGTCCATGTTTAGCCCAAATTTAGTCATGAGTCTTGCATATAAACACCCACAGCATGGACTGTGCCT